TAGATAAACATTTTTTTGCATCATGACTCACTGTATGCACACACAGTTATAACTTGAATATATGCTTCAAAAACTGTTATGTTTTACTGTTGATAACTCTCTGATATTTACTGTCTTTCTCTTTGGATAATGGCTGGCATATATTTAACTATTAATTTATTGGTTTACCCCACCATTTGATCAGCAAGTGTTATGTTCGTCCCAGAAAGTAGTGGGTGAACTTGCACCCTGCCTTGAGAGACTATTCCAACTCTCTACCTAAAATTTACATTTTCACAATGGGTGCTAAAACCCTGAAACAGATAAATACAACCTCCTTGGAAGATTCATTACCTGATCTTAGTCTGAGGCCAGCCTGCAGTCGGAACTTAATTATGTCGTCCAGACACACCATCCATCCATCATCTATCCATCTTCTATTCATCCATCATCCATCTACCATCCATCCATCATCCATCCTTCCATCCCCCATCTATCATCTATCCATCCATTTATCTATCCACCCATCCATCCTCCACCCAATCGTCCATCATCTATCCATCCATCCATCCATCCATTCATCCATCCATCTATCCATCCATCCAGTCAGTCAGTAGTTCAACATTTTCCAAATCTATATCCAGTACTAGACACATGGTGAGCACTAAGACTCTAAGGGTAAACATGGTCTCTACTCTGAGACTTGTAGTCCAATTGGAAAACAAGTCATCTGCCAACCACCGGGTATTCTGTAAGTAGAAGTCTACAGGAAGTGCTCTGGGCTCACAGAGAAGCAACATGGGGCTTGAACTAGATTGTCCAGAGACTCTCTCAGGTAAAGGTGGCCCAAGCACTGAAGCTAGAAGCAGAGGTGGGAGTTCATTTCGGGAATGAACCACCAATAGAGCGCACTGCAGGGCAGTCCAGCAGCTTTGAGAAATGAAATGCTGCAGTTGTTACCGCTGTTGTCTGCTGGTGCTCCCATGCCTTATTGGCACTGCCTCGGTACTCAGTACTCAGTACTCAGTACTCCCTGTCTCACTAACTTCCACTGCACTGAGTTTTTCCCCTCCCCAGGGGAGCCAAGCATAGTGTCCTCTGTGCTCTTAACCCTCCCCCACACCTACCCCAATGTCCTGTAGAGACCCTTTGTCGTTCTGAAGGAAGCTAATGTCTCCTCTATTCACCTCCCTCAGTAGGCCAGGGGTGCCTCCAAGAGAGTCCCAGGCTTTGCATCTTTTGTGGGAAGCTGGGAGGTACACAGGCTTCTTGGGCAGATTTAAAGTGAAGCCAAATAAATGAATGTGTAAAAGGCCCCAGAGCTGACCATTTGGTGTTGGTGTGCTCTTTCCCTGGGAAGACTGTTTGTCCTCTCAACATTGCTTAGTTCCTTGTAGTTCTTTGTGTAGGGTTGAGGCCTCCCAGGCTTCCCCATCCACTTCAGCATATCTGTTGTTGTTACTGTCCTTGTTCAGCTCGTGTTCAGATAGTCATGTTGGTGAGACTTTATGATGTAGTGCTCACCCTGTGTCTACACATTACAGTCTCACAGCAAACTCCTCGGTCCCCTCTGGCTCCAGAGTCTCTCCATTCCCTCTTCTGCAATGATCCCTGAGCCTTCAGTGTAGGAGATGTATTTTAAGACATAATGGTTGGGACTGTGCTCCACAACTCTGCCCTTTGATTGATTGTAGTTTTCTGTAGTGATGTGTTTGTGCAGAGAGTTTTAATAATGAGGGATGAGAACTGCACTCATCTGTGGGTCTAAGGACTAGTGTTTAGAATGGAGTTAGGGATTGTGCTGGTTTAGTGAAGTGGCAGTTGTGAGTTCTCCTCCAAGATCCATGACTTCATTAGCCCTGGGTAGCTGAATAGATTTCCAGCACCAGGCATGATTCCTTCTTCTTCAGAAGTTCTTAAATCCAATTAGAGAGCTGTTGGTTACTGCCAAGGCATGTGTAACCATTAGGGTTATTGCGACATGCTGGTCATTGGTGTGATTCTAGATGTTAAGCCCTGAAAACATACCTGTAACTAAGGTTATACAGACTGAGCATGTAGTACTGAGGTATTTAGGAATACACACATACACACACACACACACACACACACACACACACACACACGTAACAGCAATTAATGAAAAAAGAGACTATGAGTTTGAAAGAGAACAAGGAGAAGTATATGAAAAGGTTCGGAGTGAGGAAAAGGAAGTGGGAAATTTTATTATAACTCTAAAAGAAAAAGTTAAAAAAGACCTCCCAACTCTTGTGACATGTTAGTTAAAGATGGCAGGGCTTCACACACTATAAACTCATTTACTTACGTGTGTAAGACTCTCAAACTCTGATAGCACAAATTCAATTTTCTTTTTCATATTTTATTCACAAAAGATTGTTTCTGACTTTTAGGCAATATTCTTTTGCTAACTTTGAAATGTCTTCTTACCATTGGAACTTATTAATTTGTGCAAATGAAAATCTGACCCAGAGACAAGGCACACACTTTCCCTAGTACACAGATGCCTGTCCTTGCCCGTCATCCACTTAACCCACGCTGCCCCTTCTGAAAAGCCTTTTACTGGAATCAGAATTAATTTTTAATTCTCGCTTTCCTTTGTGAACGTTGTGCGCACTTTGCATTTCCTGAGCAAAGGCTCCAAGAGTGTCTACAGAAGAAATGGAGTCCAGGACCTGATCTCCAAGTCTGTCACCAAAGGACAGTCTTGTGGGTTTTTCGGTCCTGTGAACTTTCATGTGAAAGCTGTACTGTTTACAACTCTCCATGAAACAGAGCACTGTACGAGGATGAAGGTGATGCCTAGGAAAAGGGTTTGCTGATACAGGCATTATGGGAGCATTGACCAGGCCACCAGGACAGTAGTCATTTTTCAGCAAGATTGAGACCCTGCTGAACTTTTGTTTCTAGAACTTCCACAGGCCCATATGTGCTGCAGACTGTGTCCATGTCACAATTTTAGTTGAACGTGCCTCTCTTCAGTAGTTAAAGTTAGTGTTGATGAACTTCTTTGTCCTACATGCAAAATCCAACCAGTGTGAGAACAAAGAGGAGTATCATCCCAGACAGCCGTGTGTGTGTGTGTGTGTGTGTGTGTGTGTGTGTGTGTGTGTGTGTTTGTGTGTGTATATGCGCATCTGTGTGTTTCTGTGTATGTGAGTGATGCCTGAAAACTTGGAAAAATGACTTTCATAGAGACATTGTTACCAGACTTCTTTATTCAGTGCTCTTTGTCTTTCTTCCCTCTGGCCCCCTTGTCTGTCTCCCTCCCTCTCTCCACATAGCACATCAATTATGTAACTTTGTTTATATAGCTCTGTGGTGGTTTGAATGAGAATGTTACCCATGAGCTCATATGTTTGAATATTTGGTCCCCAGTTGGTTGAACTGTTTGGGAAAGACTGGGAGGCATGGCCTTGTTGGAGGAGGTGTGTCACTTGGGGTGGGCTTTGAAGTTTCCAAAGCCCATAACATTTTCACAGTTAGGTCCCTCTGCCCATGCTTATGTAAAAGTGTGAACTCTCAGCAATTGTCCCAGCACCATGCCTTCCTGCCTGCTGCCATGGTCTCTACCATGATGGCCACGTACTCTTACCCTCTGAAACTGTAAGCCCTAAATAAGCACTGTCTTCTGTAAGTCTCTTCATCGTGGTGTCTTATCACAGCAATAGAAAAGTGACTAAGACAAGGTCTGTTTTATTAGTGTCTTCAAAATTAACCAACTGTGATTTCAAAGAAGAATTTTATCATCTTGTGTGTTGATTTAATATCTCAGTGAGGACATGATGCATGTGCTTGATACTGACTCACCAGAGCAGGAAATGTGAGTAAAACACTCACTGTGTGTGCCACCCTTGGCCAATGCAGCTCTGTAACCCTGCACCAGTGACCACAGCTCTTTATTGCCTTCTACCTAGTAGTGCCTGCTAATCCTCAGACAGAATGGTGTATGACTTCCTTGTCTCTGAGGTACCCAGCCCTCTACCTTCCTCACAGTTCTCCAGCCTTGTGTCTCACCCCTCTCACTTGCTGGCTGTCCATGCTTGCCCAGGATCATTTGAATGACAGCATCTGGCTCTGGCTCCCCTGCTATTCAAAAAGGATACCATCTCCAAGTCCACCACATCCCAGAGCCAATCCAGTTTTCTATGGGTACTTATCTGATATTATTAATTTATTGAATGCCATGGAGTATTCTCCACACAGATGGCACAGCGTTTGTCACTCTCTGATTTATAAATGTGGAAAATGAAGCCCCAAGAGGCTCCTTTCTGCCCAAGTTTCCATGATGAGAGGAGAGCAGCAAGGATGTAAACCCAGTGAGCTTGTCTTCACGGCTCTTAACTCGTCAATGCCACACTTTCAATCTGAACTACTGGGTTGTGTTGCCATGATCATTAAGAGCACTGACCACTTTAGTGGAATGTCGGAGCCCTAACTGTCCTTGAATTCCTTTGGCAAGAGCAAAAGTAGGTGAGGAAGAAACAGAAATACAAACAAAGAGGAGACTGCATGCAGAAGACCCTTTGATGAGAAGAAACTGTAAATCACAGTGATGAAAACTGAAGTGTACTGAGAGAATTTGAACATGTTAAACTGTGACTCTTGAGCCTTTGATGATGCTGAGACAGAGGGCATGGGGAAGAAATGTCAGAACTCCCATAACTGGAGTGACATGCTGTGACAGTGCAGTGAAGGACAGCCACTCACCAAAGAGTCGTGAGGGGCACGCTTTATTCAGTTCCATGAGGATGACTGTACTGTGTGATTCTCCACCTACTTATTAAGTTTGAGCTTGATAAAATATAGCAGACTTAACATGTCCCATTCAGCTGCATTTGTTAGAAGCCAGTGTTGCTTTTATTGAAATGAAAACCCTGGCTGGATGATAATGGGGGAAACATCCAGAATTCCATACCATACAGTGTACTGTTTTCTGCACTTGAGAATTTTGAGTGGTTTGGAAATAATGTCTGTTTTCACAATTTCCTGTTCTCTGCTAGGTTCTTGGAACACCAAATGAGGACACATGGCCTGGAGTTCATTCTTTACCACATTTTAAGCCAGGTATGTTTCATTAATTGCCTTTGTTAAGTGCTTCCGGTCTGTAAAACCTGACTCTATAAATGTCCACGTTCAAGCAACATACAGCCTTGAAACGTTATACAAACCTTTGCCAGTGTGTGTTTTATGTATTAATGGAGAGGTCCTTGTATTTGCACAATTCATTTTTTAAACAGAGTTCACTGCCCATCCACCATGAGAGAGTTTCCCATGTAAACTATGTTTGATTCATCTAAATGATCTTGTAGTAACTATTAATTTCATTATCCATGTCCCTGCTTATAGAAGCAAAATTTAGCTGGAGAGATGGCAAAGCATCAGTGAAAGAACCTGGGTCCAAATTCCCAGCATCCATGAGAAAGCTGGTTGTGGTGACTGGTGCCATAATCCCGGTCCTGGGTAAACAGAGACAGGCTGCAGTGGGGAGCCATTCCAGCTTTGACCTGGAAGTTCCAACCCCCATTGAGGCTTGGGTAACGGTCACGCCTACAAGGCAGGGCTGAGAGAGGACGATGAAGACCCAAGATCCAGATGTGCGGGCTCTCTTGGTTCCTGGACCCTGCACACTGGAGGTAGACTGAGCAGAGTTCTCTAGAGAATACCGCCGGACTGCGCTACACCTTTCCCAGACCCTGTAAACTATCCCTTCACTTGTAAGTTACCCCACAAAATAAACCTCCCTTTTAACTACGTGGAGTGGCCATAATAATTTCATCAATAACAGACAGGTTCCTGGGAACATGCTGACAAGGTAAGTCTAGATGAATCTGTCAGTTCCAGGTTCAGTGAGAGACCCTGCCTCAAAAACAGAGGTGGGGAGAAATTGAAGAAGAGACCAATATCAACACACAAACACACATACACATACACACACACACACACACACGCACGCACGCACGCACGCACACACACACGAGCAAAATTTAAACTGAACACAATTCAAACATATCACTACTTTTGAATAATACTAAGAAATTGTAGTAAATTATAAAAAAAGAAAACTTGCATTTTTCCTTTCTTGATTTATGCTAGTAATATATGGTCAGATAATTTGAGTTTAATTATATAAATTGTCCTGATTCTCCAATTGTGTAGCAGTTGACATTTCAGTGGAAATTATTTAGTCCTCTAAACTGGAGGCCTTTGAAAATGTAGTATTTCATGAATGAGAATTGTTGAGACCAAGGTTGGATAAAGCACTGGGACAAATAGCCAAACGAATGGAAACACATGAACTATGAACCAATGGCTGAGGGGCCCCCAACTGGATCAGGCCCTCTGAATGGGTGAGACAGTTGATTGGCTTGATCTGTTTGGGAGGCAGCCAGGCAGTGGGACCGGGTCCTGTACTCAGTACATGAGTTGGCTGTTTGAAACCTGGGGCTTATGCAGGGACACTTGGCTCAGCCTGGGAGGAGGGGACTGGACCTGCCTGGACTGAATCTACCAGGTTGAACTCAATCCTCAGGGGAGTCTTTGCCCTGGAGGAGATGGGAATGGGGGGTGGGCTGGGGGAGAAGGCTGGGGGGGAGGGGGGAGAACAAGGGAATCCGTGGCTGATATGTAAAATTAAATTAAATTATAAAATAAAAAAAGACCTAAAAAAATTATAAAGAAGAAAATGTAGTATTTCAAAAATAAGTTGTCATCTTTTCACTCACCAGTAGATGGCAGCCATGAAATTTTCAGTTTTAATAGTGACAAGAAAATCTGACATGATGTGCCTAATTTTTATTGAAGGGGTGAAAGATTTGCAGTTGGAAATTGACTAAAATCAGGAAAATGAATTATTGTAGAGTAATTCTCTTGTTTTTCTTTTTGAGTTACAAAATGGGGTTCATGAGATGTAGGTCCACCCTAGAGTTCCCAGAGGAATTTCACAGAGGATCCAACATAGCTGTCCTGTCAGGGGAGAGCTCTGAGTAACTTCGGAGGGGAGCCAAGTGTGTTCTGCTCCGCCTCTTCCCCTCGTTGGAGACTCCGGGAATAAATTACCAATTTCAAAGAATGACTGGGTTGGGAAACTATTTTTATTCTTCATATTTTTCCTGAAATTGTACAGTGTACTGAGAATTCTTTTATCTTTTTCGGAAGCCCCAAAGGCTTTTTGTACTTTTACTGAAAATTATAAATGAGTTCTATGTTTGGAAAAAGTTTAGAAACACAGCAACTTATTATAATTGATTTTTTTTAATTAAGCAAGAAGCATCTAGTAAACCAGTGTACTTATTCCTTATGGAGTTTAAATTAATAAGACAGCTCTTTATAAGTGTGATGGCCTCTTATGATTAGTGATCTTGTTAGGATATACAATTTTAAGACCCAAGAAATAAAACAGAAGAGCCTGAGAGGCTGAAGTGTAGCTCACTGCAGAACCCTGTCCTGGTATTCAAAACAAACAAACAAATAAGGTTTGAAATGAATAAAGTTATATACATAAAGGACCAATTCATAGAGTAATTTCACCGGCCAAGGGTCTGGACTAGAAAATATGGGGTAATTTGGTGTGAATGGAGCTTATTTTCATCAAGAATACATGCAAGCATTTAAGAGTTTCTAGAGAGTGTATGATGTAGTCCAAATCAACATAGCAGATTATGAATTTCAGACCAGGGACCATGCACAGTACATATCTGGCATTCAAAACTTAGCTCTTGCTCTAAGTTATGTTGTATATTTAAAAGCAGTATTATTCATGAGACTCCTCTGGTAGAAATATATAAATTAGAGTAGATATAGTAATTACTGTGTAAGCTCTGCAACAGACACATAGTCATATTGGGAGTCCAGAAGAACAACACATGTAGATGGTATAAGGCTAGACTAGGAGAGACAAGATTATAAATTGAGGGGAGACAGAGCCCTGAGGACTTCCACACAGTGCCCAACCAGATCATCGAGGAATCTTAGTCTCTGACTTCATAGCCCTTATACTCCAAGGAAGAAAACAGGGATCCCAAAGGACACTAGCAGTCTAGGGATCACCTGTCCTGCCCTACCTCCCACCTCCAAAGGCTACAGAGATTCTGAAAGGGGAGAAGGAAAGCTACAAGGGCATGTTTCTTTAATGCTAAAAGAATGTGTGTGTGTGTGTGTGTGTGTGTGTGTGTGTGTGTGTGTGTGAACATGCCGTGGTGCACATGTGGAGACCAGAGGGAAACTTGCAGATATTTGCTTTCTCCTTCACCATGTGGGTTGCAGAGGCTGGACTCAGCTCATCAGTCTTGGTGGCAAGTGCTTTTACCCACTGAGCCATCTCCTCGGCTCTTTTCTTTAACAGAATCAATTTAAGCATTTTGGAAGTGAAACAATACCATAGTGCAAAGCTTTCTCCTTGCCCCATCTCCCATCTGCCAGCTTCCCCAGAAACCACTGCCCTCCCTGACACCAGGCTCCTCTCTGACAGTAGCTATTTGTGTTTCTTTCCCTTGGGTAAATGTAACAAATTATGAACATGTATGTATACATGTATATGTATGTGTATATATGTTGTATTTTTCCTGCACAAACTACAGTTGTATCCTGTTTTTCTCACTAGTCTGTACTCTAGGATTTACATGTCACACATGTCACTGCACCTGTCAGTGAAGTCAGTGTGGCTACACTGACTCTGAATGCTACATCATGTTCTGCTCTACAGATTTCACTTGCTTCCTAACCTGGGCATTTGGGCTGTCTTCAGTATGTCACTGTTAGAAGTGTTAATGCAGCGACAGCCATATCTAAACAGCAAATTGAGAGAAACTGGTTCAGGAGTCAACAAGTATCAACGGTTGTGACTGTTAACGCCTCTATCAGTCTGAAGCGGTGGTCTCTTGTCTGTGTGTCCGCAGTGTGTGCTATGCTTCCCCAAGCCTGCTCTGCTCTGGAGTGTGTGGCCAGACTCAACCCGTCACCTGCTGAGAGGAATTTCACTCTAACGTTGGTTTGCATGCTTCCTCTGATGCGAGGCTGGGCAGCTGTTCACCTGTTTCAGCTTTTCCTTACTAGGAGCTATTCATGGCTTTTGCTCAATTTATAGTTGGAAAGTTGTAAGCCATCTCCCTATTGATTCTAGGAGTTTTTATAATTTAGAGTAATTTCTCTTTTACCTATGAAAGCCTTTTGCTTCTCTGGATTTACTGCATAAGAGTATTTTCTAAAGTTTTATTAACTTCATTACCAAAAATGTTGTGCAAAAAAAAAAAAAAAAAAAAACACCATACACTGAAATTAACCAGACCTAAGGACTATATAATTCAGTAAATACAGTTAGACTAGCTATTCAGGATAGACACTGTGAAGCTTCTTGATACTGGATTTTATACTCACTATCAAAACATTTTTATGCACTTATCTACTACCAAAACCAAAAATTCCATGAGAACTAGAAAAACATTTACCTCATATCCCTTTCATAACTCCTATTCATCGCCTACATTAGTCTTTCCTCACCCTCTAATATTCACCTTTCTTGTCCTCTTTTCCACATGTTAGACTCTACCCATATGTGCATATGTATGTGGATATATACATGTATATATTTGACTAGATTCCACATGTGTTCTTTTCTTTCTGATATGTATTATCTAGCTTATTAGTATACATTCTAAGTCCATTTCATTTTCCTGAAAATTTTGTGAGTACATTTTTCTTTAGCACTAAATAATATTTATACACACACACACACACACACACACACACACACACACACACACACACAGACACACACACAGAGACAGAGAGACAGACAGACAGATAGATAGATAGATAGATAGATAGATAGATAGATAGATAGATAGATAGATGGGCCAAATTTTCATTATCCATTCATCTGTTGACTGACAACTAGGCTGATTCCAGTTGTTTTCTATAGTGCATACAGCAGCGGTAAACCTGGGTGCTAATATCTCTACAGGAGGATATGTAGTTCTCTGGCTATGTGCCCAGGTGTGAAATAGTGGAGTAAAATAAGCTAGTTCTATTTTGAATTTTCTGAGAAATCTCCAGACTGACTTCTCCAA